CCCCATCCATTTGAATGGACAGGAAAGGCTGGCTTTCACCATGAAGAGATGTTGCAAGAAACTAACCCAGAACTCAGCTGCTTGACTGGAGCTGATAAATGAACATTCCCACGATAACTTCTAGGCACCTAATAAGTACCCAATAAATATTTAATGATTAATTAACCTTAAATTACAACTTGTAAAAAGCCCTATTTTTATGTTAGTTGAGATGAAACAATTCATAGCATGTGGGTCTTCGTCTTCAAAGAGACAGTTCAAGAAAAATATTTGAAATTTTAATGTATTTACTTAGTATCCTTTGGTATTTATTTGTCATTTGTATCTCATTTTGAGTAGTATTAATAATAATTTAAGCAGACATTATTTATTCTTTTGAAAATAACTTGCTGCATTATTTAGCGTGATTTATTATATGTCATGGGACCAGAAAATGTTTCTGATGGGATTAATTTTCAGTTTCATTATGAGAATAGATGAGATGCAGTATGATAGATTGGAAAGAGGGCCAGACTGTGAATCAAAAGACATGAATTTAATTCTTAGCTCATCCACTTACAGTGCAATACTGAGCAAGCTGTTTATCTTTACAAAACGTTTAGTTTTGTGATCCGTAAAAATGGAGGTAATAACATAAGTAGCGCTGCCTCCCGATTTTGAGGTGGGATCTACACTTTGTAGACTGGAAACCAACTATAAATGTAAAGGTGCAGAAAATATAATGTGATTTAGTGCATTTTACATAATAACTTTTGCAGAGACACACTTATCTCACAAACTGGCCCACACTTGTAGTGTACGTGTGGATTTTCCTTCTCAATAATTTTCTGTTGCAGCTGTGCTCCCATCTTATACTCAGGATGGTACTGTGGTCATCTTAATTTTCTTTTTAAAAAATTTTTATTTATTGGGACCAGCAGTTGGCATAATGGCTATGTTGCTGGACTCCCATGGAGTTGACAGTGGTTCGAGTCCCAGACCCAGTGGTTTAAACTCACGCCAGGCACGTGTGTGTGCCCAAGATCCCGAGAGGAGAATGGAGGAGAGGGGACTGCAGCATGGCCATCCCCCCCTGGGGGGTGATTTCTTGCTTTCTGTCTCTCTGTCTCCCTCTGTCTTTCTGGCGAGTGCACGCACCCTATAGCTATAGCAAAAACCTCTCAAAAAATTTTTTTATTATTTATTATTATTATATTTTATATATTTATTATATTTTAATTTGCTATAGGGCATGTGTGCTCACCAGAGAGAAACAGAGAGAAAGATATAATGTGAGCAAACAAGCTCTTAGGTCTGGGATTCAAACCATCATCAGCCATTTTGAAATTTAGTGCCTTAACCACCATACCACCTTCTGGTTCCCAGTAATCTTAATTTTCTAAAAAAGTTGGTTGGTCTTTTATTTTTCAGTAGAAAAGAAGAAGAATTTAGGAAAATAAAAACAAAAAACAAAAACTCCCTTCAATATCCCATGTCCTTTTATCTCCCCCTTTGTAATTATCAGAGAATAATGCTCAGTTTCTAGACTGGGCATAATAAAGATCCTTTGAACACAGCAATCATAGGGAATGAGTAACTCAAGTACTGTCTTCCGATTGCAAAATGTCCAGTATTTCTTTTCTTATGCTTATGATAGATGGGTCTGCTATGATGTGTTCACTTGATTTTAAGGACCAATGACTATACAGTCAAAGTCCTTTTTATGCTGCTTACTTACTAGCAAACCCAGGCACATTGCAATTGACATTTTTTTTATATTAAATTGGAGCCAGCTATAATTTATTGGGGATGTATATCACTAAATTTTTTTTTAAAGACTACACATATTTTGTAATGCACTTTATTCTAATTGACAATGGATGGTACTTTAAATGTCCTGGCAAGACTGATTTAAAAATGGCACAAACTCTGCTTTTCAAGTAAGCTTAAAAAAAAAAAGTATAATAGACTTAGGAGGATTTGCATATATCTTGGTGGAAATAAAGTCACCTTTAACTTCCCAAAGTAGTAGTTGCTATTTGGACCTTATATGACCCTTTTGTTTAGCCCAAGTTTTGGATTACTTTATGTCACTCTTGCCTGAGGAGTCAGATGTGGCAGCAAAGTCTTCCTAGCCTCTTGGCAAGCTGTGATAAGGCTAAAGCTATGAGAATAGTGAATGGTTGTGACCAGGCCAACAGGTTACACAATTGAAGTAAAGTGTAGAAGTAGTGATCTTGTTCATGTTTAGCAACTAACTTGGTTAGAGAAGGGAGGCAGAGAACCCTGATCTGTCATATTTGCCAATTCCTGTGGTGTAAACATTCCCATCTTGACCAAATTCAAGCTACCAGTGATTTAACAACCTGCTACAACATTTCTGAAAATTTAACATTCGGCTCTCACAAGCTTGTAGGGACCAGCTTTCCCACAGTAGTGAGGGAAAGTCAGAGAAAAGAAAGAGAAGATCCTTACACACACACAATAATGTCAGAGGGTTGAGAAAGAAAATTACTCTCCAGTTCAAGTCAGCCAAAAAGAGACAGGGATTTATTGTATTCTTTGTTTTTTGTTTTTGTTTTTGTTTGTTTTTTGGAGAGTTTTTTGCTATAGGGCACCTGCGCTCACCAGAAAAACAGAGAGAGACATAGAGACAAAAGGCGAGAAATCACGCCCCGGGGTGGGGGGTGGCCATGCCACAATCCCTTCTCCTCCATTCTCCTCTTGGGATCTTGGGCACGCATGCACAAGTACCTGGCATGAGTTTAAGCCACTGGGTCTGGGACTCGAAACACAGTAGACTACATGGGAGTCCAGCAACATAGCCATTAAGCCAACTACTGGTCCCCTCTTCAGCAAATTCTATATTGAACACTCTCAAGGGAGATATTTGTATTTGGCCCCTCATTTTCCACTTTGAGGTTTATGAGAAAAAAAGATTTTGTTACTTTGCCTCATATACTCTTATACACATAGTGCTTTGAGTATTTTCAATATTATTATTATTTAATGTTTATTTTGCTATAAGGCATGTGTGCTCACTGGACAGAGACAGAGAGAGAGAGCTGTTTTTGAGAGGGTCTTTCCATGCCTCGACCCCCCTCTCCAGCCACAGTTAGCCCGGATTGCAGATGTGTACTACCACCACACTCAGCCTGCCTCAGTTTGGTCCAGGAACCCAACTCAGGCCTTCTATGCAACTCCATCCTCACACAGTGGCATCCTACAGCCTGTGCCACTGTGGTTTTGCCCACATCAAACTAATTTTAATCACTCCCATGGTAGTTCTTTGCTTTGCTTCTCCTTTAGTATTTAGTTAACTCTTGAGATTTTTAGCTCTTCTCATCTGGGCCAGTGGGAACCAAGGGAAAATATTTTTAAATTTATGGTAACAGCATCATATGGGTAAGAAACTCAAGAGGAAGGTAAATTTTAGGGACAAAGTTATTGTTTGGTTGACTGCATTCTCCACCTACAAGAAGTACTACTTTTTCAGAGATCAAAGTCTGGAGAATCTGCATTTTGCTGCACGTGGGTGGGGAGTAACTTTCCCTGACAAGGTGCTATATTGTCCTCTCCCTACCTCACCCCTTCACCTACACTCCATCTTGTTGTTTAGACTCTTGTTCGCTTGATAGCTTGCAACTAAAAATTAAGATGTTAGCAGAAAGAACATGAAAGAGTTTTCTCTTTCCAAGGGCTTTTGCATGTGAAATGAGAATCCTTACAAACTAGAGTAGTCTGTGCTGAAGGAATTAATACTTCATATACTTAATGATGGAATTTCAGATATTAGAAACCAGGATTCTGCCCAGTGTTTCTTAAACTGTACCATTGTATCTATAGATTTTTAAGCCAATGTGCCTCTCTCTGAACTCAGTCTGGTTTGTGTATTTGCTTTTCAGTGAGAGATTTTTGCTATAGGGTTTGTGAGCTCACTGGAAAGACAGACAGAAAGTCAGAAATCACTCCCATGGAGCCGGTGTGAGTTTTAAGCTGCTGGGTCTGGAACCCAAACAGCAGTTGGCCGTGTGGGAGTCTGTTGATGTAAACATTATTCCGTCTGCTGATCCCAAGTCTGGCTTTTAATGTACTTTCAAAAATAAAACTCAAGATGATTATTTTGTGGAAATTCTATCTATATATCTCAAAGTAAGTCTAGCAACTTAAGAGTCAGGAAAAAATGATTAATTACATTTTTATGATGAATATTTATAAATTATGTGCTTATTTACCAATAAGTTAAATCTAAGGTGAAATGATAAGATATATAAGCATTGTGGTGTGCTGTCTTGGTATACAATACAGTAATCCGCCACCCTTATCTGTGGGGGTATGTCCCAAGACCCCAGTGAATACCCAAAAATGTGAATAGTATTGAACCACATATATGTTTTTTCCTATACTTATGATAAATTAGGTCCAATAAGATATTAACAGTAACAACAATAACATAGAAAAATTGCAATATACTGTAATAGAAGTTATGTGAATGAGGTCTCTCTCTCTCTCTCTCTCTCTCAAAAATATCTTTTTTTTAAAGAATTATTTAATTTTATTCATCATTGTTTTTTAATTTGACAAGAGAGAGAGTGAAAGTGAAAAAGCAAGCTACCAAATCCAGGACTCGAACCTTGGTTGGCCATTTGGGAGTCTAGCACATTAACCACCACACCACCTGATGGCTCCTCAAAATATCTTATTGTACTGTACTCACCTATTTTCAGATTGTGGTTGATATGCATAACTAAAACTACAGAAAGCAAAACCACAGATAAGGAGGGACTATTCTAGATTTGGCTTCTGCTATGTGCAAATTGCCCTTTCGTCAAACAACATAATTGTTCACAGATACATAAAATGTTCCTAGATATTTTGAAATTAGTATGACAGCTATTTTTGCTTTACCTTATTTCAGAAAAGATTCAGAAGGTTAAAATCATTAGGCTTTAAAAGTGTCCTTTAAGAAGACATTCATGTAAGGTCTTAATTTTTTAAATTCCTTGATTTTTAACTTTTAGGTATTCAGAGAAGGACTACCTTCAGATTATCACAAATATACAGAGCTGTCCATGGAAACGACAAGCAGAAGAATATGAGAATTTTAGGTAAGAAATGTTTTAACAAATAATATGAGATAAACACACACACACACACACACACACACACACACACACACACAAACCTGTATTGTGAGAAAATAGCCAAATGCTAAGACAAAATGAAGAGGCAGGATGGCTGGAGTCTAAGAGCCTCATGAGGCATGTGGCCTTTCATCCCCAGCTCTTTACAGAAGATTGCAATTCTATTCCTGGGTTGAATGATAAAAGCTCCAAATTCAACAAAGCTTTATTATGCCTTTTATTATATTTTAGAGGAGATCCCTCCTCTTTGCACCATTTGGATTTGGTATTTGTGTGTTTCTTTATTTGTAAAGAAAATAAAATAATATTAGGGAAACATACATGCTGATTCTTTGCTGTGCATCCCTCACATGTTTTTGTCTGGTGCCAAATTATTTTATTGTATTACAATCCAGAGACATCTTTATCTTTATGTGGTCATATTTTCAAAGTTTAAGTATCAAGTCTACTAAAAATCTTATTAAAGGAACTTTGTCTCCCCCAAAAGACGCTAAGAAATAGCTGCCATTTGGTTGTTTCCGTGGGAAGGCAGCTCGTGTGCATGTCGTGTTGCAGCTCTGCCTCTCCCGCCCTGTCAGGATGCACTGGTGTCATTGCACCAGCTGCCTTTGGTTCGGTTGTCAACCAGAGGTCCGCTCCCATTGCAGGAAAGAATAACTTCCTGATTGGGTCGAAGATTAAAGTGGATACCTTGCGTCTATTAGGTGAACACTCATGACTTCCTGCGGGTGACCAGTAAGCATCCTGGAATGAAAAGTTGGAATGGGGATTCCTGTTTAACTGTTTCATTTCCAGAATGCACAATTCAAGACTGGGTTTGAGAGATCCTGGCGGCAGGGAGATCAGAGAGGGAGCTGTAACAGACTCACAGGTTGACAAGTGGCAACAAGGTCCGAGTTGGAGAGACCTTTTTCTATGTGCAGAAAGGAGAAAAACAAAAATGGTGATAGTGCGCTACTGAAGAGGGACCCAACATAATTAGCTAGAGAAACAGAATAGTGACGGCCATAACCACAGCATGGGGAAGCAGCTGCTTCTGGCTGCTAGTTGATTCAGACCGAGCTTCCTGAGAATACTGCAAACAAAACAACGGTACACTAAACTCCTGTTGGAGGGCATTGGCAAAAACCGAGGCAGGGAGAATACATAGCACTAAGATCCAGAAGAGGGAAGTCAAAGGGGCAGCTCTTTCTCTAGGAACTTGCTGAGTGCCAATGGCTGAGAGGTGGAAAAGCCGAGCAGAGCTTCCAGCAATCCTTAGAAAAGACAAGTTCTCAGAAGGACCGAAGGCCACATTTGAATCATTTTCCTCTTCAGTTGGATTTAGAGGATCTGCCCTTCGCCTAGATGCCTGAGAGAAGCAAAAGTAAATCCTCTCTGGAGGAAGGCAGTGTTATCCAGAGCCTTATATTATCCCTGAAAGTTTTCACACAGTGCCTGACTTGATTTAAAAAAAAAAAAAAAAAAATTCTCTTCAGAGCTTTCTTTTCTTTCTTCCTTTC